GAAAGAGAACAAGCAAAGTAGCCAGCTACGATGCCGCATTAATAGACTTGGACATGCACATTCAATGTGGGTGTGCCTAGAGGTTGAATTCATTAATTCCTCCATTCTTAGGGTTGAAGAAACTGATATTATTGCTTATACACCCCAGGGTTTCATGACGTATTTACCTACCATATACCATACAACATGATAATAACAGGTATTTGACTCATTTAGGACGTTTCTCTCTCTCTCTCTCTCTCTCACACACACACACACACACACATTTATTACCATACAACATGGTAATAGGTATTTCACTCGTTATACTTTCCTCTCGTCTTACGTAACCACATAACAAGAAATTGTCAGCTAATCATCAGAACATATTTCACGCCTATATGTCCATATCAGTCGTGTTCAAAAAAGGTGCTTTCGCTGATTACACAGAGGAGAATCAGCATGGTTTGAGCAAGCCAAGAAGCTAACGGGGCCAACTGGGAATAGAGGTTTAAGAAGATCATGAGAACAAGTCTCAAGGTACGTCTTCCAGAAGTTTGCAGTGATTGGAATCAACAGAATTGGGACTACAATGCTTTTATACTAGCCAAGGGAGTTCGCCTTTTCTAAATGACAAATTCAGCAATTCCTACAAACAAGCCAATAGTGGTGCAAAGGTCCTAAGGAACATGGATATCTTTTGAAACCAAGTAAAACCCACAAAGCTTTCTCGATGAGATTTCAATATCAATCACTTCCAAAGCTTATTGCTTAATAGAACTTGAAATTAAGAAAAACATGATACTGGAGACTAATAGAGACTTAAACAATTATAGGTTACAAAGTGGGAGCAATAGTGATTACATCTAATAGCTAATTCAGACTTTGAGAGATTAACCCGAAGACCAGACACAGCCTCAAAACACAGCAACACGCACCGAAGGTGTCCAATATGACCAGCGTTCGCATCACAAAAAAACAAGAGCATCATCTGCATAAAAAAGATGGGAGATGACCAAAGAAGATGGTCCAGAACCCCCTTTGAAACCCTGCAACAGACCGCCATGAACTACCCTTGACAACAAACGCCCCAAAGCCTCCATAACCAGAATAAACAGCAATGGGAAAAGAGGATCACCCTACCGAAGACCTCTATATGTGTGGGAAAAAACCTACTGCAGAGCCATTGACCAACACAGACATCCGCACAGTAGAAATACAAAAATGTATCCACCGCCGCCATCTAGCTCAAAAACCCATCCTCTCCAGACTGAGTGTGGTAGTGCTGCTGAGTCAGTGGACCATTTGCTCGTTCACTGCCCAGTTACTTACAGGCTCTGGATGCTTATTGTGGGGATTTTTGGTTTGGTTTGGTTTGGGTGGGGTGCAACCCGATTCGGAGTTGGCTGTCTTGCAATGTTATGTTGGGGGGAGGGTTGGGAGGAGACGTCGGAAAGCGTGGCTGATTGCCTCTCACTGTTTAATGTTGCTTATTTGTGTAGTAGGTAGAGTTGAGTGTGTTAGGTGAGAGTTGAGTGTGGTAGGTAGATGTAAGTGTGTTAGGTGAGAGTTGAGTGTGGTAGGTAAATATGGAAAAAATAACCAGAACGGCTTAGCAAACGAAGTTGATAGAAAGAGAACAAACAAAGTAGCCTGCTAAGATGCCGCATTAATAGACTTGGACATGCACATTCAATGTGGGTATGCCTAGAGGTTGAATTCATTAATTCCTCCATTCTTAGGGTTGAAGAAACTGATATTATTGCTTATACACCCCAGGGTTTCATGACGTATTTACCTACCATATACCATACAACATGATAATAACAGGTATTTGACTCATTTAGGACGTTTCTCTCTCTCTCTCTCTCTCTCACACACACACACACACACACATTTATTACCATACAACATGGTAATAGGTATTTCACTCGTTATACTTTCCTCTCGTCTTACGTAACCACATAACAAGAAATTGTCAGCTAATCATCAGAACATATTTCACGCCTATATGTCCATATCAGTCGTGTTCAAAAAAGGTGCTTCGCTGATTACACAGAGGAGAATCAGCATGGTTTGAGCAAGCCAAGAAGCTAACGGGGCCAACTGGGAATAGAGGTTTAAGAAGATCATGAGAACAAGTCTCAAGGTACGTCTTCCAGAAGTTTGCAGTGATTGGAATCAACAGAATTGGGACTACAATGCTTTTATACTAGCCAAGGGAGTTCGCCTTTTCTAAATGACAAATTCAGCAATTCCTACAAACAAGCCAATAGTGGTGCAAAGGTCCTAAGGAACATGGATATCTTTTGAAACCAAGTAAACCCACAAAGCTTTCTCAATGAGATTTCAATATCAATCACTTCCAAAGCTTATTGCTTAATAGAACTTGAAATTAAGAAAAACATGATACTGGAGACTAATAGAGACTTAAACAATTATAGGTTACAAAGTGGGAGCAATAGTGATTACATCTAATAGCTAATTCAGACTTTGAGAGATTAACCCGAAGACCAGACACAGCCTCAAAACACAGCAACACACACCGAAGGTGTCCAATCGGACCAGCATTCGCATCACAAAAAAACAAGAGCATCATCTGCATAAAAAAGATGGGAGATGGCCAAAGAAGATGGTCCAGAACCCCCCTCGAAACCCTGCAACAGACCGCCATGAACTACCCTTGACAACAAACGCCCCAAAGCCTCCATAACCAGAATAAACAGTAATGGGAAAAGAGGATCACCCTGTCGAAGACCTCTATATGTGGGGAAAAAACCTGCTGCAGAGCCATTGACCAACACAGACATCCGCACAGTAGAAATACAAAAATGTATCCACCGCCGCCATCTAGCCCAAAAACCCATCCTCTCCAGACTGAGTGTGGTAGTGCTGTTGAGTCAGTGGACCATTTGCTCGTTCACTGCCCAGTTACTTACAGGCTCTGGATGCTTATTGTGGGGATTTTTAGTTTGGTTTGGTTTGGTTTGGTTTGGTTTGGTTTGGTTTGGTTTGGGTGGGGTGCAACCCGATTCGGTGTTGGCTGTCTTGCAATGTTAAGCTGGGGAGAGGGTTGGGAGGAGACGTCGGAAAGCGTGGCTGATTGCCTCTCACTGTTTAATGTGGCTTATTTGGTTAGAGCGTAACAGGCGTGTATTCCAAGGGGTGTCTCAGTCGATTTCTCGACTAGAGAGACGGGTTTTGTTGGTGTTATATAGTTGGGTTATGGGATCGGTTGATCCAAATGTTTTAGCTTATGTTGATTTCATAGAGGATTTGATAGCTTAGCATTGTTTCATTGAGGGTTTCAAAATTGTATTCTTTGCATCCTCTTGATACTTTTCTAATAAATTTACTTATTTATCAAAAAATAAATAAAAGAAAGTGAAGCTGCATATGCAAAGTCGGAAACTAAGAGATGAACTCCATATTATATGATTGAGCCATCAAATCCCCTAGCCTTTCACATCAGAAGGCTGAAGTATGAGTATTGTCTCACTTTGCTCAAAGCTTTTCTTTCCCTTCATCGTACTGTTCCACAAATACTCCAACCAACTTATTTATAAAGATACCTTCAACTCACAAGAAGAATATTCTTAGGCCTAGTTTGGGAAGATTGAAAAAAGACAAAAAGTCAAAAAGTCACTATCCTATTTAAGTCACATCATCTTATTTAAGTCACATCACCTCTCTAATACATCACTTCAAACCCAACCCAAACCCAACCCATATTTCATAAAAATTCAAAAAGGTCTTCCCAAACTAGGCCTAAATAAAACTCAAATGCCAAAAACAACAAAATGAAATTCAACTAATGCATCTGCTTCCCTTGGAGGGTGCAGATAGGGAGGGGTAAACCATATTTAGCCAAAAATCTCAAACAACATCCTTGGATGAGAATTATAAACAATATATTTATCTTAGAAGTTAGAAAATAATAATCAAATAAGTAACAACTAAGAGGATGAGAGTGGTGGGAAAACTAGGGTTTGCAGTTTACAGATCAAATGGCTCATCATTGGCTTTATCAAGATTTGCATCCTCTGTGTGCGTGCATGTGTGTGTGCATGAGAGAAAGAACTGCTCAAAATAAAGTAACCCAAAATACTTGAGAAGAGAATATGAGCACCCACCAAAAAAACAAGAAGAAGGAGAAGAAGAAATTTTTTTTAAAAATGCATACTTTAGAAGATGCAGATCTTAAATGGGATGTGGTCCTCTATTTTTACACTAGATGGAACAAGAGATTTTCTTCTAGAGTCAACATCAAACCTCTTGTTCGCTAAATAACTCCCACAAAGCCCTTTTATCAGATATCAAAGATACAGATAAGCAAAATCCTTTTCAAGTCACTTATTATGGAACTTTCATCTCTTGAACAATTTTGAAGACTTTAACATTTACTTCACTTCAAAATAACTTAGACTCAGCCTCCAGCAACTGACAAAATAGTACTTAGGCCAAGTTTGAGAAGTTGCCAAAAAGTCAAAAAGCCAAAAAGTTACTCAAAAAGTTAAAAAGTTATCACTATTCACCAAAAGTCAAAAATTACGGCTGCACAACTCCCTTAGTTGTGTGTAATCCTAATTTTTTTGCCCTACCACCTACTTAATACAATTTTTTAATACACATTTTTTCATAAAAAGTCAAAAAGTTAACCCAAACAACCATATTTTTTTCCTCAACTTTTTAGTCCAAAAAGACAAAAAGTATACTTATTTAGGACACCCCAAACAACCCCTTATTCTAAATGATCGTAATTTGGGAATTACATATCTTGTCAAAAAATTTAAACCAAAAGCATGTCATCACAACTTTTCAACCCAACAAATAGTTAGACATCGTTTGGGAACATGTTTTTTTAGTAACTTTTTGGCTTTTTGGCTAAAATATGAGGAAAAAAAAACTTAGTTGTTTGGGATAAACTTTTTGGCTTTTTATGAAAAGACGTGAAATAAAATAAGGTAAATAATGAGAAGTGGGTAAAATGACCGAAATGGCCTTATAGCCGTGCATAGTACCTGTCCAAGCGTCAGACTTAATGGCTTCTGCAAGAGTGATATGTCACATTAGTGAAAAAGTATTATTTTAAATTTCCTTTGCATAATACACTTGGAGTACACAGCATATAAAAATATATTTTTGTGATGTAATATTATTTAAATAATATTAATACAATATATTTAAAAAAGAAGGTATCATGACACAACAGTCAAATTGTATTTCTTTTGGAGAACTATAATACAACACATATTTAAAGTTGTGGGTAAATTACACTAACACCTCCTGATGTTTATGTTTATTACAGTTTTTCCCTCACCTTTTGGAAATTACATTTCCCCCTGAGATTTGAAGTTTCATTACAGATTTCCCCCCTTAGTAATTTAATTATTTTAAATACCAACTTTACCCTCTTCAAATCAGAGCTTCTACTATGTTCTGGCGTTGAACGAAGGACCCTCTTCATCTTGATGTAGCTGAATAGCTCTAGATAGTACATCCTTTGTGATAATAGCTCTGAAAATATTCCCATCAGTGTTTGACATAGAGTGGGGGTGAAAACGAAATAAAGAAAATCAAGGAGGGGCAAAACGGTCTTTTTACAAGGCATCTGCCACACATCACGTGAAGATACTGTACATAGGTTTGTAGGGTGAAATTTATAGGCTTATTGGTTTTTTTAGTAACTTTTTGGCTTTTTGGCTAAAATGTTCGGTTGCCAAACGAGGCCTTAATCTTGTTTCCAAACCCCCTCCCCACTCCCCAAAAAAATAAATTAAATGCAGTGTAGGAAAATAAGTATAAAAAAAAAAACTCAAACTGCTATATTAAATTAAAAGAATAAAATAGCCCCAAAAGTCAAACTTTAACATCTGTATCAAATGAAAAGTATTTGAGGGACTTACATTGAACCAGAGGGTCCAAGAAGTGGTTTGACAGTTGGTGTAGAGTCAAGGGCAACCATTGATGTAAATCGTGATGGTGAATGAAGTACTTCTTGAACGACTGACTTTCAATATTTGGTTGGTGGCACAGACTTCAGGCCATCGAATTGGAGCAGTAACTACTGGATTACCCTATTGGCCACCATGGCCAGACTGGTGAGGAGACTGTCAACGCACTGCAGAGGACCCCAGCTCTCCTATTGCTATTGAGGAGAGAGAAATTGTGAGTATAGAGAAGAATCATGCGACAGTGCAAGAAAAGAACGGGACGCGGTAGACTTAATAGGACTCAATAGAAATTTCAAAAAAAGTAGGACTTATTTCATATTTTCCTCTTTTTTTCCCTGAACCTAGCTTCTTAAATACTAGATAGATATATACATGAGACATGAGTACAAAACTATTCATATATCTCAACACGCAAGCAAGCAAGCAAACCCACACACACACAGAATCCCAATCTTTCAGTTAAGTTAGATTAAATTGAGAAATTGGGTGATCACAAACGGTACTCTGTTAGATACAGAACCTGATGAAATTGTTTTGAAATGGCAAGAGTTGAACATTGTTTGGGAGAAGTATACCAGCTTGGCCTTCATGAAAAAATGCCCATATCATCAAAAATCATTCTTTCATGGGTTTATGAACATAAGTCATAACCTCTGTACAGAGAAAAATGTTGATAACTTTGCTTGATTACAATTCCAGAAATCTTTCAAATTTTGCATACAAACCAAATTATGTATCACAAACTCACAGTTACAACAACAGCTAAAAGAATATAAGTAGAAATTTGATGATTTCTCTACAATTAGGAACCCTAACAAACTTCTATTAAAGTATAGAGCATAATCCAAACAAGAAACATGGAATCAGAGAAGGAAACAAATTCAAAACCCTAATCAAAACAACATATTTTGATTTAGAGAGAGAAGATCGTCTGTACACTGAACGCCGGCGCTGCTGCCTTCGCTGTGAGCGGTGGAGGAGGAGGAGGAGGGTTTGATGATGGTGCTCCGCCGCCTCCGCCTCCGTCGCCGCTGAACGCCGGTCTTTGTCGTCACCGCTGCCTTCGCTGCGATCGGAGGAGGGTTTCTAGAGTTTGGCCGTGACTCGTGAGTCAAGTAGGGAAACCATCTCCATGGTCAACACGAAACATGGTTAAAACTCAACTTTTAACCCCTTTTTTTTAATATTATTTTAGTTCATATTATTTTTTAATTTCTTTTATATATTTTGAAAAAAATATTAAAAAAATTAACTTTTAATCAACCAAGATAAGCCTTATAAGTCATAACAAGCCAGACCATGTTGCCTAAGGTGTTTTGGAATCACCGCCACAAATAATTTAACGCGTATGCAATTTAACACATACAGGTCAAATAAAACAAAATGTTAGAAATTTCAAATAAAATTATCAATTACTTGTGTAAAACCACTGCTAAGTAAGGAATTTAAAAATTTCATTAATCAAATCAGTTTAGTCTAATTGATAGGTTTGATCTGTTTTTTTTAATTCGTGATTCGATTCTGATTTGAAAAATCAAAAAACTAGTCTCTTTGGATCAGTTTTGGATTTAATTCTACAGATTGGAAACGAACCGGACCGTATATAACTTAAGATATATACCTACTATACATCCTGATACATACAATCATATCCTCTTATATATAAAACCAAATCAAATCACCAATTGCAATTTCAAATAAAATCACCAATTGCTTGTGTAAAACTACTGCTAAGTAAGGAATTTAAAATTTTCATAAATCAAATCAGTTTAGTCTAATTGATAGGTTTGATCTGCTTTTTTTTAATTCGTGATTCGATTTTGATTTGAAAAATCGAAAAACTAGTCTCTTTGGATCAGTTTTGGATTTAATTCTACGGATTGGAAACGAACCGGACCGTATATAACTTAAGATATATACCTACTATACATCCTGATACATACAATCATATCCTCTTATATATAAAACCAAATCAAAATATATATTGTTTCAGTTTTCTCTTCTTTTTTTTTTTTCTATGCTGCTATACCTGTTTTTTAATTATTTAACATAATTTTAGTTTTGTAATTTTTATTGCACGACAATGTTTATTTGATAGAGATTTTATACTTATTGCGAGTCAAACAATATATTTATTTATTAGATATTATGTTTGTTTAAGTTAATGGTAGAACAATATGTTCATGTTTCAAAAAATCATGAATAGATTAATATTGAATAATATTTGCTTCGTACTAGTTTATTTGATATATGTTATGTAATTTTTTTGTGAACATATTATGTGAAACTGTAATTCTAAACCGAATCAAACCATATTTAAATTGTTTGGTTCAGATTGATTCTATAATTTAAATAAATTAATTTAGTTACAATTTTTATGAAATGTAAACAACAAATCGGTCCTAATTTTATCTCAAACCGAACCAATTCGAACAATACTCACCATATGTAGAATCTATATGGATATCATGTGGTGTGAATCCCATTCCAATATTATTGTATATAATATTTGATAATTTATTCAGAATATCTCGCATTGTTGAAAATCAAATTCATAGTTGCAACTGAGTGTGAATTTGTTAAAACAACAAAACACACTCTCCTATTAGCTGAATTCAACGGAGTGGTCTTAAAATAAATAAATAAAAATTTATTGTGTAAAATCAAACTAATAAGAGTGTATTTTGTTTACACTATAAATAAATGACACTGTTGTAATTTTCTTCTCTTTCAACCCACCAGCTAATCTATTATTAAACTGTAAATTGTAATGTTAAAAGTTTTAGGGTGAATTATTAATAAATTTTAAAATATGATTTTATGAACTTTTTTTTTTTTCCTTATAAATTCAAAGGATCCATTAAAAAAAAATTACACAAAAAATATAATCACTTATATGTTTAGATTTAATTTTGTAGGGATTAAAATGGATTTTTCAAAATGTAAAATTATATATTTAAATAATCCGCACTATAGAGGTTTTGAATTTTCCTTCTTTCTGAAACAAATCCCACATTACGAACAAAAATGTAACACTCCAATAACATAACAATCTAATGTAACGCACTAAAAAATTTCTTAGTGTATTTTTTTAAAATGTAACAGCGTACCACTCAAAAAAAAATTCTTAGTGCACTTTTTTCAAACGTAGCACTCTAATGTAACACACAAAAAAATTCCTTACTATATTTTTTCTCAAACGTAACACTCCAATCAATATAATCTCAAATGCAATACTCCAATGTAACATACTCTAATGTAACACACTAAAAAACTCTTAGTATATTTTTTTCAAATATAACACTCACAGTTTGAAATTATACATTTACTCGAAAGTTACTAAGAAATTTTTGTACTCCTTTTAGGATGGTTTTAAGAATTCCATATCCTTTTGGAATGATTTGAAGAATACCACATCTTTTTCTTGGAGTGTTACATTAGAGTGTTACGTTTGAAAAAATTATACTAAGAATATTTTTTTTGTGCTACATTCGAGTATTATACTAAAGAGTTTTTTTGAAGTGTTATATTGAAATATTACGTTTAGGAAAAATATACTAAGAATTTTTTTTTAAGTGTTGCATTTGAATGTTATATTGGTGTCACGCCCTAAAAATAAAACTAAACATCTAACCAAGATCATATATAAATAACAGCACGAATCAGAGTGTAATGTTCTTCCATTTCATAGAGTTAAAGGTACAAAAGAATCCACCATAAGTAAATGCCCTATAGGTTTACATCTTTCCAAGTCATTACTTAGTTAAAATAAAAGAGAGTCTAACTCTATACAATTGAGGCCCTTGGCTATCTAAAATAATATGACAAAATAAAGGAACCCTTGCTTCTCAAAAGTCCCTCAAAGCTATTATCTTGGCGGAGGTATGTCACCAGCACCTGAAAATGGTTTTCCCAAATAGGGTGAGCCAGAGCCCAGTAGGAATAATCTAACACAGTATATAAGATTTAACAAAGATATAAGTATGATGTGCATATACAATGCCTGTGACAAAGCATTCGCATTTTAATAATCATAAAGTACAAAGTTCATATCGTATTCCATTATTCTTCAATTCATTTCAATCTATGAGCCAATTTCATTATCTTTAAACAACCCAATTGAGATTACAACTCAGAGGTTATCTAATCAACACAACTACCACACAAACACTTTGATCTGTCATTTTACGAAAATTTCGTTCGCGAGATCGGCACCCAAATATACACAAGATTTCGGGATTTTCACCATGGACACTCCCGCCAACTTAATTTTCAATGAAATCCATCATCTATCTTCTCTCAAACAATGGAGTGCATCCCCTTTCTCCTCCCAAACATCATACATATACAATATATTTAAACATAGTCATATTTAATGACAACCAACGTTAGATTAGTTTCGATTTACCTAATCCTCATACATTTTATACAACAATCATAACTATCATCCACCAATAGTCCAATACAGATATTTCTAAACAGATATACAATCTTCTCAATAGATAAATTATTCAAATTTCTATAGGTGAGAGACAACATGTGCTCAATTCCACCATTTACATCAACAATCATCCAATTACACATTACCATTACCAATTTTGATTATTTGTACAAAATAAAAATTTGACCCATTTAGGGCAAAACTCAATTTTTTCTCATATATCAACCCAAGTGTCAAAATTAACTATTTTAACACAATGTAACCTCATATTCAAACCCCATAGTCATTCATTTCATTTTCAATTAAAAACCCCTCTTTTCACATCAAACACAAACCCTAGGTTTGCTCAAAATACTCTAAAGTCTCATAATTGTTACACAACAACAGATAACCAAGCTAAAAACCATATGAAAGTGTAGAAAAATCTCTACCTCAAAGAGAGAAGACGAGCCAAGCAAGAGTAAAGCTTTAAAGATGCCCAAATCCAACTCTAATCGGATCAAAATAGAGATCTAGAGATAATCTACCTTTTTATCAAAGGGATTAGGGTGAAGAAATCACTAGAACTAGGTAAAAATACAAAGAGAAAGAGTATTTTAGACAGAGAGAGGGCCTTAACTTTAGGTTTCAGAGAGAAAAACATCTGAAAAAGTGATGTAAAAAATCATTTTCGCGATCTGATATATGCACAATCTGCTTGAGCACAAGAGTTGACGCTCAAGCGTCAAACACAATAAGTTGTTCCGCTTGAGCGCAAGAAAGGCCGCTCGAGCACCAAGACACAATGAACAAAACGCTCACCGCTCGAGCGCGAGAAGTGACGCTCGAGCGTAGAAAACACATATCCAATAGTTTTTCAGACAACAGACGAACACTCAAGCGCAAGAAAAGCCGCTTGAGCACCCACCTGCTCGAGCGTAGAAATCACTTTCCTAGTAGTTTTGCAGACCTACAAAAGTATTGAGAGTTTGCAAAGCCCGCTCAAGCACAAGAATGAACGCTCAAGCGAAGGAGCAAAATTTACAAAGCCCGCTCAAGCGCAAAAATGGTCGCTCGAGCGGAGGAGCAAAAATATGAGCAACAAATGTTTAGAAAAACAAGCAACAAACCTGTTCTAAATACACAATTACAATCTAAATGACCAATCCAAGGAACAACAAGGGGAAAAATAGATGAACAACAATATTGAATCATGAAACCCGAGTCCGGAAGATAATAAAATGTTGGGTCAAAACCGGAGTCACTATAATTGGAGTGTTATAGTCTCAAATTATACATTTAGTCAAAACTTACTAAGGAGTTTTTGTACTATTTTTGAAATGTTTGAAGAATCTCACATTCTTTTACAATGTTTAAAAATTTCATATTTCAAGTTAATGAGTTAATCGAGACCCCCACTCTTCCCCCATCCCCACCACCCCCACACACACGTGGGGGTTGGTGATTTGAGAAGGAAAAAAATAATAATAATAATAATAATTAATTGGCCAATCAACACCCACTGGGGGTGCTGGGGGTCTCCCCCAATGGGGGTCCTTGTCTTTTTCCTTCAAGTTATTTTTATATTCATTTTGAAATGTTTTTCAAATAAAAAGATTCACATATAAAAATTAATTCCAAATTTGATTCACATAGATTGTGTACCTTACCTTTCTAACACAAAAGAAAAAAAAGAAAGAAAGAAACATAATATAAATAAGGGTATAACCGTAAAT